CTCTGCATCAGACATTCTCCCATCTTTTCCATCTTAAGAACTCCTTCCAGGCACTGCCTTCCTTTCTCAGACAAATTTCTTGAGACAGTAGTGCCCCTCCTTGGTTCTCTTTATTTAGCTCCTTGCTGCCCTCCCCACTTCGCCCTTCCACTAGTTATGCTCTTGGTGATATTACCCTCAGGCTGTTAAGTCCAATGGACACTCGATCTCATTGAACCACTGTGATATTTCACATTTTTATCATGACCTTCCTTTGAAAGTCTTTTCTCTTGACCAAGATGATAGCACTCGCTTTTGTTTTCCTTGTTTCTCTGTTTACTCGTTCTTGAACTCCTACCTATATAAGCTTCTTTAGACTCCTCTTGACCCTGTCCATCCCTTTAGGGTGATGCTCCCAAGTGTTCTAAGATGCATCTCCATCTCACTCCCCACCTTCCCGAGGGTGACGGCATTGTTGATATGTTGTCACTACTACCTACCAGCAAATTGCTCTTCTGAGCTCCAGACCCCCTACTGCAGCTAAGAAGTCCTTGCATATCTCGAATTATGATGCCCAATTTTAACTTAGCATTTCCACCAACTGCAAATCTGATTTTCTAATACAATCCACTAGGGGGAGGTGGGGGAAACAGCGTCTCTACCTGTTCTTTATCTATTTAACTCCGTTTCCTACACTCACGCCACTGCGAAGTGCCATCACTTTCTTTCAAAGTCTGCTGAATCTTGTACCTTCTCTTCTCCTTGACAGTGTCTCAGTTCAGGCACGACTCATCATTTCTTACTCATTATTGCTGTGGTTTCTTAAACTGGTCTCTTTCTTCAGTCATGTCCTTCTCCAGTGTGTTCTTTATTCTGGCCAGGAGATCCCTCAAAAACTTGATTCTCACTTTGTAGTTCCTCTGCTTAAACATCCTGAAATGGTCTTTGTCCTGTTATAAGGCCCTTTATAATCTGCCCCACCTTCCTCTCCACACTGATTATCTTACTGTTTCTTTCCTCTTATTCTGTTCTCCAGGCATAATGACTTACAGTTTCTCCAATTGAGCACATTAAGCTTCCTGTGCCTGCTGCTCCAGCTACCTAGCAATGCCAATGCCTTGCCTACCAGGCTGCCCCCTTCCAGCCTCACAGGGCTGTGAGCCGCTTCTCTTTGACACTCAGCTCCTTATTACCACTCTCACAGGCTCATCCTGACACAACTCCACCCTTCGCCTTCCCAGAAGACCCTGGCCCATGGTTTCTCATGCTATGTTGTCACTGTGTTGTTGTCCATGCCCCACTGGATTGGAAGCTTCTTGAGGGCAGGTACCAGAACTTCAACATCTTTGCATCCCTACCCTGGCTTCTTATGTGTTAATTTATTGATGCATAAACCATATTTAGGGCGTCTTAGCAGGCAACATCTCTTCACTGAACACCTCATTTTATAACACCAGGACAACCCCTGGGCTGGAAGGGACATACGTTTTTATTGCCACTTTGCAGGAAAAAAAAACTATAATCTGAAGTCTAAGAGATGAAGCAACTTCTGAAAAGTGCACAGTTAATTTTTCAGAGGTCAGACTAGAAAGTAAGTCTCTCCAAGCTCATGCTGAATGTTAATAAATATTGATTTTATGGTATTCTATTGCTCTAAAAACTGACAATCTCTTTAATGATTTATAACAAGGTTTAACCAGCAACCTGACAATAGGAACACCCCTCTCTAAGCCACGGCAGGTAAGAAATTGCGTGCTTTACATTCCAATCAGCAGGAAAGGAATCAAATTCAAAACAAAAGCTGAGCCACTCAAAACTTCAAATTGTAAAATTAAACCTTGATAGAGAAGTTGGAGAAATTGAGGCAACAAAAATTGTAAATTACAAATTAAGGCCAAAAACAACCTCACTCTTAAAACAAGAGAAAGAAGAGGCACCAAGCTTTGCTGAGAACTCTTCTTTGAAAGTTTCTCTTCCCAGGATTTAGCACTTCCCAGACTGAGGTTAGCAAATGAATTGAGAAGTGAATCAACATTGATCATTTTATGTCATTTCTTTAAATAATCTTAGCTCTTTGTACCTAAGCGTTTCATTAAACTTTGAAAAGTAAAACCGTTATAGTAACTGGCCGCACTTCATACACTAATTGTGCAATGAGAGATAATTTCTCTTCTAATTCCTTTCCCCTTTGGTATCAGTTCATTGCACCTAATTAAGGTACACATCTTGCTCTACAGTTATATACCCTTTGATATAGTTACATAAACTTTGAGGTCTATTTGAACTTGAGAGAAATCTTATGGCTAAATTAAAAAAAAAAAAGAAAGAAGACAGGAATTAGCAGTTTTGAACTCCCTAAAGGTGAAGGAAAGAAGAAAGCAACATTTATTACAATTTGGTGCTTAACAGGCTCTACATTTGCCCCCTCTGACAGAATTTAAAGAAATAAATACTTAATACTCACTGCAGCCAGCTCTGCGGTACGTCTTTATTTACCTTCACATCCAACACGAACTACTATTTCCCTGAATGTAGACAGGACTGCCTACTGGACACATACATGACAACAGTTTGCTCCCACATTAAAACTGCTTTGAATTCAGTGCTTCAGAGTAACTCCAAGTGAATTTTACACGTATGTCTCATTTGATGTAATAAGCCAGAAGCCCGAGTTTGGGGAGGATGGCTTGTTCATAGAAGTCATGAGGTAAACAATGCAAAGCCTAATGATTGTGTTTTTCAGAATTATCTGAAGACACACCAGTTGGACAGAAGAAAACTGCACGTGGTGTGCCTGGCTACTGACCCGCTTCCCTATTCCATCTCAAATGTGCTGAAACCAGTGCATAGCTGGGATCCAGGCAGGTGCCCCAAACCTGGAGTGTGAGTGGAGGATGCCTTGGGGACATCAGAGGGGGTGCAGCTAGAACTTGACACCTTAAAGCTGTGACTGTCCCAGGTTGACCTCCATCAGGGATCTCAGTATTGGGATGGCATAAAGATCAGAGGTGAAGTTTTGGAAATGCAGACCATATATATTTGGCTTTCTTATTTGAAAATTTTGATTTATTTATAAACATGTAATATTATCTGCAAAAATATAAACCACATTCATGACTGGCAACACTTAGAAAACTTGAGTCCCTTTAAATAGCAGAGACTCCTTATCCTTTACTGTTGGAGATACAAAGTTTTCTCAAGAAATGCTTTGGGAAGTTATAAAGGCATGATCACAGGTTCTTCTCCAAAGAAGTAACAAACGAATTAAGACCTCAGACAGTGGTGAAGTGGCGCTTTGTGGTTGCTGTTGTGTTAAATAGATGCCCTTTCCCGATTACATACAAGATGTGGTCTCAGTTTTAGTGAGTTACATGTTTACACCTTGAATTTCCCTTGTTTCTTTAAAGGGAAGAAGTCATCAACTTCACTTCCCTTTTCATTATCTTGCACAGGATTGCTGTGCAATGACAGACCTTGGGCTCCAGGTGAACACATGCTAATGGTGGGCTGATCCATCTGTACTGGTATTCATAACAGTTTTATTTTGGTATAGTGAAAATTAAATGACTTAACTGATAAATAGATCTGATGTGGTCATGAGATGGTTTCCCAAGTCCAAAGCTGGGACATGTGGCTGGACAAAGGAATCATTTCTGTTTCCATCTCTGCCCCAACTCAATCTAGTTTGCATCCTGCACTATTAGCATTTTGAGGCATTTTCATGGTTAAGGAAAAGGAATACTGAATATTTGAAATGGATTTATGGATGCTATGCTATGTTCACTGTTCATGTGCTTCCAGTAATAATGTTCATTTTCCAGTGGATATGTTACTTTACAGCCACCATCTTAATTAAAATAAAACATATATGAACACAGCAACAGAGAGATTTAAAACACTAATTCAAGAAAATAGGGAAGATCAGAAAACTAGGAAAATATGGTGTTTGTGTTTTTTTGTTTGGTTGGTTGGTTTTAGGTCATGAGCAACCTATGATTATTTATTATCTGATTATCTTGAATTACAAATTACCAAGATATTCCCCTGCCTCTATTTATCTTGCTGCCTGCTTTTGAGTCATCTTACCAATAACCTAGGTTGCCAACATATGAGGCAGCCAGAGAAAATGGAAGAAGCTAAAATGAATCCTTTTTTCTTTGTTTGTGAGTACGGCTCAAAGTTGGAATAGACGAAGGTGAAATTTTAGTGAAAGTCAAATTTAAGGGTTATTTTTATTTATTCACACTACTGTTTTGTTCTATCACTATAATTACATAATGAAAAGCTCACTGAATGTAGTTTAGTGGCTTAAATAAGACATAAGCATTAGCTTTAAAATTTTACAGTTTAGAAACATTCATATCATGATTTGGACCATTTCTCACTTTGAGCTTAAGTGTATATTATATTCTCTGTACCAGTTTTCTAACCTATAAAATGAGGAAAATAACATCAACTTCATTTCTTAACAGAAAATGATATTTTAAAGAGTTTGTTATAGGCACTGATGATATATTATCTCACAAGAACAAAGGATTATTCTTTATAATGCTGCAATTTTATTACGAATCCAGTGTGGGTAACTATAGTGCTGACTTCAGTTTAGTTCAAATGTGTATTTCTCCCAGGCATTGTAAGTGAGGACTTTGTGCTGTGATGTAAATATTTAGTTTACCTGCCTAGCTTATCGTCTCTAGTTTAGGAATTACAACACGAGTCTTCTTACTTTTTCATCACAGTTGCCTGAACACAGGGAACTCAATTCTATTTTATGCTGATAATCCAAGAAAATTTTTGAAAGACTCAGAAGCATGGTTCCCGACTTACTGACAGTTTTTAAAATCAAGACCTTTTTTCATCATCGAGTGTTCCGCATGTAAATGTGTTATAGTTGTCTATAAATCTGTAAAAGAGATCATTAACTTCTGCAATATGGAACAAGAGACAGCAAGCAATAGAACAATAGTAAGCCCACATGACATCAACATGCTTAATAGATTAAAAATGAGAAGTCTTCTTACCTAGCATGCAAACACATTTGACATTCTGATCAGGGTTTTCAAACAAGATTTCGCCACACCTCTGCAAGAGAAAGGAAGCCATAGTTATTTTAAGATTTCATATCAGGATTCCCAAGGCGACATGTCCATGCAACCTGACATCACCATGACATTATTCTACTCTTCATGTTTTTGTCTGTTACCGAGTCTAGGGACTTATGTCATAAGCAGAGACTTTCCTAGTAGTAAAATATTTGAGAGACAAATTGGGGATAGACTGTTCTGCATGCCTCATGTCTGGTGTAGAGCTGATTCTGTGGCTTCTGTCAGAAGTCATGGCCAGAGACGCACTAGCATCTAACGGTTTCAACTTCAAAGGAGGATATGCAGTCTACTAGATCTAATAATCTGAGGTTAATCACTCTCAAAATTGGTTCTTCAGGACCAAAATTATTCTAAACTACCTACTCTGCAATCGAGCAGATATTTTCAAGCACAAACCTAAGTGGCCTCCACTTAACTCTCTGAACTTGGGGACTCTGAACTCTCTGAACAAATAAGGAAATGATAAAGAAGTGGTATTCATAATGCTTTTCCAGAACCACTGACTCATGGAAATATCAACTTTCTTATCTACATTTTTGCTTTAACTTGCTTGTTAAAATTTTTGTGCAGGGCAAACTCCAGAGATACAATCAGTTATTTAAGAATAGATCACATTTATGCATGTGATTGACAAATGGTTACTACATGAACAAATAAATACTCTTTGATCTAGCCAGCTCTCTGTCTCACAGTTTAACAGCGTCTGTGATGTACACTGAAAAATGTGTGATGAAGACCTACCACCTGTTTGCTTACAATTTCAGAGAAGAGCTCAAGCAAAAATCAGAAAAGAGGGGATGGGATGACAAGGAGAGTTACAGACTATAGCTGCTACTTCAGGGGCTAGCAGCCCACTGAGTGTTTAACTTTTCATTTGTGTGCTTACCAGATGTGACATCTCCCTTCTACTGCACAGCTTGGTAAAGAGAATAAATATCATCAAATAAAAAACCAGTAAGAAAATAACAAATAATCCAATGGAAAAAGGGATAAAGGATATAAACAGGCAATTCATGGAGGAGGAACTCTGAATGGTCAATAAACAGAGAGAATATATTCAACCATACTAATGATCAGGGACTAGAAATCAGAGGTAAAATGTGGCCTATTTTAAACTCACTGATGTGGCAAAACTTAGAAATCCGGCAATAACAAGGCTTACAAATAATGCAGAGAAATGGATATCTTTTTCTAAATTGGTAACTAGGGAAGCTTTAATGTTCAGCTACAAAATAGATAAATAATATGTTATTCATACATTGGAATACTATATGGCAGTTAACATGAATTAATTAGAGCTACACATAGTGTAACAATATATTATATGTATATAATATGCATATATAAATATGTAATATTCACATTATATAATACTCAAATCATATAAAATATATATAATGTTTAAATCATGTAGAAGTATGATGTTAAGCAGAAAAAACTATTTTTTATGAAGTTCAAAATATCTAAAAAATAGCACATACTGTTTTTGGGTATATTAATTTACATAAAAAGCATGAAAGCAGGCAATGAATAATAAATATCAAATTCAGGATAATGGAAAGGTATACGGAATAATGAAATGTTGGAGGGATTGTCAACTTTTTCTATAATGATTTGCTCCTTAAATTATTCTCTGATCTGTTTTCTATGCTTGAATATTTCATAAGAAAGAACTGCCCCCCTTTGCAACACTCTGAACATAAAGATTACCTTTCACATACTGCTTCTCTGCACCCATCTCCCGGGGGCTTATGGAAGCCATTTAGTAGTACCAAGCTGGACTTGTTTTCACCATTTAATTTCCTGTCTGTAGGAAGACCGAGGACATGCTACATTTGTCCATTTTCCTCTTTCACTGTTCACAACATGGTTAATTCCACCCCCATCAATCTTTATTGTACCTACACTAAATTTATTATATGACAAAGTAATTTCTGGGAGAAACAATTCCCAGATGAGAGAATCTGCATTCCTTACACCTAAAGAAACCCTGTGGTACGCAGAGGCACAGGCTGAGAGGGGAAAGGATGACTCATTTATACTCAAATTAACCCATGATGACCTACATCGTGCACAGAGATGGACAACTGGCTCAGAACCACAAAAAGGAAGCCAGCTGCTAGCTTTTTTTGACTCCCTTTGGCAAGTCAAAAAAGTGAACTGTAGAGGAGGAAGTTTGGACACACCCAAAGGTTGCAAGAGGGCACTGAATACTAACTGGAGAATACATATCATGAACTATTCCCGGCTACTCTGCTGAACTAAATATCACGTGATATTTATCATGCTATTTAATCTCTTCAGGCTTCATTTCTCTGTAAATAACATGAGGATGCTAATATATGCCAAGAAGCCAGATCAGAGAGCAAATGCGAGGATTAACGATCCGTGGAGTCTGATACGACTGTCTGTTTCTGTTTTGTTTGTGTTTTGGCAGTGGCTAAACCCTTTCAAATTGGTAGAATCCATTTCCTGCATTACCTGCTTTTTAAAAGTGGTATTATTTTATGACCTGAAAGAGTTAATTATTTTTAATCAAAAGATCAGAGGTTTCTGAAGTGTTTTCAGCTTCTTGGTAAAACAAGGATGCTCTCTCAATCCATATTCTGGGTCCTACAGGGAAATAACTCTGGAGCAATCCCTTAGCCTTTGTAAGTCCACACACGTGCTAGGATGGAAGAGCTTTCCTTCTTTAATTGCAGGGGCTTGCAGCAGATGGTGGCTAACTTCCCACAGCTACCCAAGCCCAAAGGCAAGTCTTATGCTTGCCCCTCAAAATGTAGATGGTGTGGGTGTTCCAAGGGGGCATTCTTTCCTGGATACTAACAAACCCAGGAGAAGTTTCTGAAACTCCCGTGAAACATGCATTCCTTGAAAGCCATGGCCTGCCTGGGTTCACTGACCACACAAGTTAATGACCAAGCAGCAACAGTGGGTGTGGTGGCTCTTCCAATGACCACGAGGCCATCCTCTTCCTTGTCTTCATCTCCCTGGCCATCTAAGGCACCCCTAACTAGTGCTTGAATTGCCCTGCTTTATAAAGTTACCTGATGATGGCACCATATTTTAAAGCCATGCCCAGAAAGGAATCAGGACTTGAAAGGAACCAGATGCTTTCTAGTGCTTTTCTCATTGATGCCAGTGATTACAGGGCCTTTGCTGCCAGGGTCCTGCTTGCTGTGCAACCCAGGGTGATGACCCAGTTCAGGAGATTAACTGAACCAAGCCACGGCTTCCTAGTCTCAGAAAACTGCAGGATATGCTGTGGGTTCCGTGCCTCCTTGGGTTCTCAGCTGCTGCAGCCCTCCTCCCTCTCTGTTCTACCTGGTTGTATGTGCGGGGACTCCCTCACCCAGCACCCTGTTGGGGGATGACCCAGACCTTGATCCGGTTCTGATTACCAGGCTTCTATCTGATTCGAGGAATCTCATCTCTCCATAGAATCCCCATCTTTGTTTTGTCTTCTGTGCCTGAAATACTGAGACAAACTTGCCTTGTTTGTGCTCATTTCTCCCAGCCAGCACTGCCCCTAAATAACAAGGCATAGCTATTGAAATCCGCATCCAAGGGGCTGGATCCTGCTAGCAACAGAGAGAGCCCCCAGCAAATCTCTCCTCCCACAGCACACAGGCTGTGCTACATGAACTCGTGTGTAATACCTATTGTTCTCATAGACCATGAAGAATCAAACCATTTTCATTGTTAGTGTTTTTAACTGCTTCATTATTATAACCTGGTGCTTTATCCATACCAGGCCCTTAGTAAGTATTTGTGCACTAGCTAAAATTTCTTTAGCCCTTACTGTTGGCTAAGCATTGTTCTAAGTGTTGTACCATCTCACACTCTCATACTCTTTTAAGAAAGTAGAAAGTTCAGGCATGGAGAGTGGCACTCGCTATAGAGTACTTCACTCTAATGAGTAAGGGAATGAAAGCTGACAGCTTACCTGATTCTTGAACAGCTTTCCAAATACTGGCTACTGCTGGCCTCATTATTGCCTTGCCAAGTAGACTATGTCTATTTACATCCCCTTTTCTTACTCATGAGCCACTCTTGTTTGCAAGAGTTGCCACCTATTAGAGCTTAGGCATTGGATTAGACTGACCCAAGTTCAAATCCTGTTGCTGCATGCACTTACTTACTGTACTATCATGAGTCATTTATTTAGTTTGGCCAAACTTGCTCTCCCATCTGCAAAACAGAGTAATATTATCTACATCATAGTCTCATTGCAAATTTAGTTTTTAATTTATTATGAATGAGAATGATACTGATTTAAATTACATTAGGTGAGATTACAATTCAAAAATATGAAGTAATAAATTGAACTCATCCATTATAATTTTATCTTAATACCCATATTATTTTTTAGAGTTAAAAATGAAGAAATAGTTCTAATTTTAAAAGTCAGAATATTTCACAAGTTAGTTGTTAATTTTATTTATAAAGAATTTTCTACATTAAATCTAAAATTTGCCTTTTAGTCAGGAAGAGCAAGATGGTTGTTGTAAAATACTGCATCTATCCTAGTAAATTAACATTTATAGTGAAAATACTTAATTTTCATTAGTTTAATTACATGTTCTGGAAAAATGTACAAGAAATTCTATTTCTCTCAAGTGGACTGTATTTTTTTCATTACTATCATCATAAAATCAGTTGTTCAAAATAACATGCAAAATTAATATTAAGTGTAATTAAAAAAATCACACTTAAGTATTCAGCAAATATTTTCTTAAGGGGAAAGCTATATCTGGAATAAAAATAATATTCAAATATTAATAATAGTACCATGCTATACTCAAAAGAAGTGAAAAAAAACCCTTAAAGACAGTGAAAGTTTACACATTATTCAGTTAGCAGCATTTCTAGCTTTCTTAAACCAGTTAATGTTTTTCCTGCTTCAAATAAGCTTTCATATTCTTTTTTTTTTAAATACAAATGGAAGATTTGTGGCCACCCTGCATCAAGCAAATC